ATTCCGTGCTACCTTGTCAAGGGATTCCGCGCTACCTTGTCAAAGGGATTCCATGCTACCTTGTCAAAGGGATTCCGTGCTACCTTGTCTGAATCGCCATGCTTATTTTATACCGAGTTCTCAATATTTCCAAAAGGACATTAGTCTTGTAATTAATGTGGTTTTCATTTACAGGATGCAGATTCCTTCTTTGCGGCTGGCCTGGCCAAGTGGATCGATCTGAATTGTACCCAGGATTTTGGTGAGCAAATATGTGCCACTTTTAGTTGGCCTGAAAGAGTCTAGGATGTGGGGAGCATCCTGTCATGTTCCTCACACTCTGTCTGGTCAGGACCATATCCCCATATTAAATGGACTGTCGCGTACATAGGACTGCTTGTTACAGTGACAGATTACATACTGTCAATCTTTTGATGTTATCAAGTGTTGAGATCTATTTTTGAAAATGTGTTTATAGAGAATTTTTGGGGGGTTTTCTTCTGGCCTTTTGCAGTCTTGCATTTTTTGATGTGTTGTCTACCGCCGGGCGATTAATCGATTAATCGTGATTAGTTCGTGTGTGATTAATCAATTTACCGAAATTCACTAATCGCCAAGCAGTATTGTTGTCTGTACAGTGCTTTGAGATGGGAATGTTGAATAGAAAGTTGTTCTTGATGCAATATCTTCATCTGTGCAGAACTTTGGTGGACAATGTTGGTGTGATTAGTGATTGAACGCATCAAATGATTCCGAGTGTATTTATTTAAATAGAAGGATTGAAGGTGCATTATAATATTGTACAACAAATGACAACAAGAATAAACACTGCAGTTATTCCAAGCAATCAGCAAGTTGTTACCTTGTATGACTAAACATCCAGCAAGCTTTGGTAAACCCTAACCCCGTCAGGGTTTCTCCTGACTCCCTAGAATGCCAGAGAATGCAACATAGCTGAAATGAGAACCCCGCTGAATGCATCAAAATGTGCTGGTGGATTCTGTGGCATTATGCAGTGCAGTACACCTGCCTTGACCCCATCAACTTACACAGGGCAATCTGTCACTGGTGTTCAGGTTTAAATGTAACAGTATGGAATAGCTGTTGAATTTCGTGCACCCGGGACTAATGAAGGGTATCTATGGATAGCCAAAGACCACTTCATTTGTGACAACCACTGAAAGTTATCATCAGCAACAATGCTTTCCATTGTATTCATTTCAGATTTGGTTTTTCATTTTTCTCAGGTGATTTCACCAGTGATATCTCTGGACAGGTGGACAGTTTTGCCCAGCTAGTGCACCACGAAGACGAGATCATTTCTGCTCTCAAGAAACACCTGCAGAAGAAGGGTAGCCTTGCCTACCAGCCGCTATTGGAGTCAGTAATAGTTGCATTGTGTTTGAGCAGAAATGGGTTTTCTGCATTCATTCTACAGATGAACAAGATCTCCAGATCTATTGGACTTGTTTGGAGCAATTATAAAATGCTCACCAGAGAAACACGGGAAATTGGTCCTCATTTGTTTTTGTATTTTTAAGCACTAAATTGAAAGCTATCAAAGGCATTTGTAGGGTTTTTTAAGATAAAACATTCTTTGCTGCAGGCTGGTGTCACTGTACACCAGTATGTAAACGACTGGATTTCAAATACAATTTGAGTTGTCATAGCACTTTGAGGAATGAGAGCCCGTCTGGAAGCCATTTTCATTGTTCTCATCTTGAATTGGTTCCAGGCAATACGCCTCCATCATGGGGCAGCCGTCTTGCTTTTCTACCATGTAAACCAAACTGAGGCTGGAAGGAAATTAGTCTGTTCCCTTTTTAATCACTATGTGAAGTTGTATTACTGTTGCCAGTGGGTCAACAGGGAATAAGATGAACATGGCTGCATCATGATGAAGGTCTGTGCTGGACAAGTTTATTTACATGGCCACCGCATCCCTTGGCAACATGAACGTCTTGTAGTTTTCTCACTAAGGGTCGAGATTTTTGCAGATTCCATACTTCTAAGTATTTTAATAAATTTGATCTCTTTTCCAGCTTGCTTGTCCAACTAGCCCGGGATCTGCAGACAGACTTCTACCCACACTTTGAGGAGTTCTTTCATATCATCGTGGCCCTGCTGAACACCCAGGACACGGACCTCCTGGAGAATGCCTTCCGAGCCTTCGGGTACCTCTTCAAGTTCCTCTGGCGTTACCTCGTCAGAGACATCCAAGATGTCTTCAGGTATTCCAGCTGTGTTGCTCACCTTTTGATGTTGAATTTGGCTCACTGCGTTGGAAGTGTTTACAATTTAGCGTACCTTGGCGTATACAAATGTGCCCCAAACCCTAACTCTACAGGGTGTTTGAGCTGGAAATCCTTCTCACATGCAACTGTTGTCATAGTGACAAGCCTGATTGTACCAACTAGTCAGCAATCGTCCAAGCCCAGATGACCTTGGAGCCTGTCAGCTACCATGGGATCTAATAGTGACATTTTTCAGTCAGAATAGCTGCCATCAGAGCTGGCAGTTTTAGTCTACTGCTTTTGACTGCCCAGTGCAACATGGATCTCACAGATGCATCTGTGAAGATACGTAAGATTGGGTGTTTCCTGGCTGTTTCCAATAAGCCATTTGTGAATTAAATTTGAATAAAATCTGGTACACTGAGTTATCAGATTGCTCATAAACATAACAATTGGAATTCCCCAGACTAAAGACACTGTTGCTATACCTTGTGATTCGGGGCAAGCTTTTGCTAAGCAACCACCATCTCTGGAATGGACTGGTTCCTTTGTGCCCTTCTTTTCCATTGAGAACAGTGTATTGTTGCAAGGTGTCTCTTATGTAACTAAGAGAAAAGCTTGCCCTGAATCATGAGGTATAGCAACAGTGGCTTTAGTATGGAGAATGCCAATTGTTGTGTTCACGTGAATTTAAAGAACTCATTGTACCAGATTTTATTCAAATTTAACTTGCAAAAGGCTTATTGGGAAGTGGTTCCCAACTGAAGCATTAGAGCATCCCATTTGGAACAATCAATGTTCTCAATGGGATATTTATATATGTTTCAGACTTTTACCAGCCAGAAGACTTACTAAACCCGAGGGGTACCCATCTAATATTGATTGTACTTGATGGCATCTTCAATCCGTTCTAAGTGTAATCCCCTGTTGGCATTGAATCTCCTCTACAGGCTGTACTCCCCACTCCTGGGTGACCATCAGAGGGATCACATCCGCAACTTCGCCGCCGAGAGCTTTGCCTTTCTCATGAGGAAGGTCAAAGACCACGATGACTTGTTCGACATAATGCTTGCTAGCCTGAGCGATAATCCTGGTGTAAGCTTCTGCAAAAATTGTTTCTTTTCTGTCACTGAAAAACAACATTAAGACAAAGTTTATCCAAAGCTTAAGGAAGCTTGACAGTGTAATCTTATCTTAAACAGCATTATTTGTTTACATTTTTAACAGCAAACAAGAGGCCTTGGAAGATTATTCTTTGACATGATCAAGGGAGTGCAGAAACAGTTCCACTCTTGCACGGAAAAGGTAGCAGTGTCATCTTGTATGAAGATTTTTTTCTTTTCCTACATTTTTCTCTCAAAATTAAAAATTGACAATTTCTGCCAATTCAATGAACTAAAATGGTAAAAGGTATAAGTTTCATGTATATTCTTTATCTTTAAGCTTTTCAGGTCACTTTAGTCAATAACGAATATGCAGAAGCTTTTTTCTCATTCATGTGTCTGTTGGTTTGTCATAAAGTGAAGTTTTTTCTACACCTATTTTACAACATGTGTCAAGTTTAGACCTTTGAAGATTGGAAAGCCAGCGCTAATAGAGATCTCAAAATGCATTACTTTCACTTCAGGTTAAGCATGCAAGTCTTTGTTGAGTTTGAAGCACTTGTGCGGTTGTGAAAGTGCCCAAAATTTTGTTCAGATTTCACTTGAAGAATTTCGACTTTTCTGTTTAACTTCCACTGCAATGTAAAAAATAGATCCTTGGTGTTCAAAAATATGTCCATTTCTTTTTGCAAAGTTTTGAACAGAAATTTCTGTGTTATGGTAGGTCCTCCCTATACTGTTGAGTAAACTGGGTCCCGTCCCGTCAAAGGAAGATTTGTTGCACCAGTTGCCATGGCAACTTGTCCTAGAGTCTCTGCAAGCTGCGTTTGAATTCATGGCTGGTTGGATGTCACCAGAGCATGCTGGCATCATATGCAGTGTGCTTCAGGTACTGTTTCAATACTGTTTGAGGAAATAGTACTTTGCATGCAAAATAAGTTGACCTGGAAAATTGCCCAACATCACACTTCCCCAGAACTATTTATACTTTCAGTTGGAGAGAATATGCTTTCAATTTCTTCAAGTTGGCTGACATGTCTAGAAGCACACTTACGCTTACTTCTGACCTTCTTAGAAATATCGGGCATGCCTCTTTCCACTCTTTAAATGCCATGAATGACAGGTGTGCTCACATCCTGTCGTGTGAAGCCACTTCTGGATTGCTGTGTGACGTATTCATGTAAACTGGGAAAATTTGAAAAGTAGTCATTTAAGAAAATGTGACGAAATCTTGCTTAACAGGCATGAGAACATCTCAAACGATACCACCGATTAAATAGTGTTGTCAATTTGTTTACCCTTTCTCAGAGTTCAGTGTCTTCAATGCACAGTCTTTTTCTGTCTGAGGGAGACAATGAAAGGAAAGCACAAATCGCACATCAACTCCGTGGACTCCTGATTCTAATCAGTCAGTGGGCCGGGTACCACGGCGGCTACCTAGTACAGCAACCAGACTCAAGTGGAGCTGTGAGTCAGGTCAGTGGTCTCGTCAGCTATGTCTGCTGTGTTCCCTTATGCCCTTGCCAGACAAGAAAGGAAATTATCTTGGGAAGTTAATTGACTAATAAGCAATAAGCCCTTAACATCAGCTGACGATATGTATCCTGCTTGTACACACTGACGTCTCTCTCAATCAGCTTTCATGTTGTTTCTAAGTGCTTTCTATGTTGCTATGTCAGGTGACTTTAAAGTTGCTTGCGGGCGACCTACTACCAGGACAGTGCGGAGACACTCTCTTAGATCTGGCCGCCACTCTTCTCAGTGCCACCCAGTGTGACCTTAGCAATGACATCATCTCCTGTCTGATTAGCTCAGTGAGTATTAAACACAGTTTACACACAAGAATAAGTACAATTGTTGGAGCAGTTGGAGTTTGAGAGAACTGTTCTTGAGCTAAGAATTATTATCCCAGTACTTTATCTATTAGATGGATGTCTGTTTTCTATTCACACGATGAAAATGTTAGGTATCTTGTGTCTTTGAGCAGGGCATGTTACCATGTTTGCTTCTCCCCTCCCAGTAGTAACACAGCTGCCTATGAGAGCAGTGGAGTGCCCTGTTTGTTTCACACAGGTCTGGATCTCGATCAGTGATCCCAAAGCTGGTTCGCTCTGTCCATCAGGTGGATTGTGACATCAGTGAACCGGTATGGGATCTGTGGTCGTGATCCAGATCTGCATGAAACAAATGGGCCCCTAGTTAATCATGTGCATGTTTTGATGACAGTCCATGGTGTCCAATTGGACTGCCGACCCTGGCTTTATATTTGAGTGAGATGAATTCAAGGATAATGTGAAGACCATCGATCAGTGGCATTAGTATCTCTAGACTATAAGAGGTACAAGGAATCTGCCACAGCTATAATAATTTTGTTGGAGACAGTGCAGGGTGACGTAGAAATGCCGCCACATTTTGTCTCAGGCCGTATCTGTTTATTGTCCATTTCTACCTCTTAGGTGTTTGGAAGCAGCTACTCACAGTCCCAGGTTTTAGGATTCAGCCAGCAGCTTTTTTCCATGTGCTCATTTGAAAAGGTGGGTGTCATAATTTTGGGGGGGCTAATTGAAAAACTCTGGAAATTCTTTTTTTTTTTTAATTGAAGACACGGTGTTATTCTACCTTTTGGGTTTAGAAATCAAGAGTTTGCTGAAACTGGCAACCTCGCATCCTGTGGTCTCCCTTAAAGTTCGTCCACATGCCGTTCATACGTTTGGAAATTTCCCCCATTGGGAATGTTGGATTGTGTTATCAACAAAATTACTTGACTACTGTTCGTCCACATGCCGTTCATACATTTGGAAATTTCCCCCATTGGGGATGTTGGATTGTGTTATCAACAAAATTACTTGACTACTGTTTCTTGCCATACTATGCAGGATGTATTGCATCCGTTACTGCATTTCTGCCATGCTGGGATCAGCCGCAAGACTCCCTCATCCAATCAAGCCATCTTGTACACACTTTGTAGCCTGGTACTCCATAAACAGTCTCCAATAACCGATGGGTCAGTCCTGGAGAGTCATGCACTGTACATCTTAGATTTCAGCCTTGACGTTTATAAAAGGTGGGCAACATTCCCTGCAGGAACTAGGCTGGAGTGAGTGCGTTAGTAGCTTCGAAAGAAGTTGTGGACCATTATGGTTTGTCAAATATATTTGCTTGCTGGATTTGCAGCAGGCCTTGTTCCCTTAAGTTTGGTTACACAGTAGTTGTGTTAGGCTGGGCTTGGCTAGGATTGGATGAAGTCTTGATTGGTTTGACTGATTGAATGGATTTTGGTTGGGTCGGACCCCGCTGAGATAAGATGAGTTACACAAGTAGGGTAAGCTGGGATGAGCATTGTAGTTGGTTGATTTGGGTTGCATTGAGTTGGCATTTCTAACACAATTTTCTCAGTGATAGTCATGCTGTAACGTCTACTTTTTTATATTGATATTTTCCCTGTAACAGTAGGTAAGAAAGGTTAATACTTGAAACGGCAGATTTGCTACTTCAAAATATAAAAAGAGACTATGTTATTTCCAACTGCCCATTTGGAAGAGGATATCAACAGGTGAATGTTTACATTTTACAAATATAGCAGTGAAGAGTACTTCTTGTGTTGATTCTGATTTGTCATCTTTACAGCCAATCCAAAAGCAAAAAGAGTAAGAGGCAGCTAAGTAGCTTCCCAGAATACCTCCTGTCTCTCCTTGACTGCAACCCCGACTCATTGGGTCAGGACAACATGGTGTCCGTGCTTTGGGCTGCCCTCGTGTGTCTACCAAATGTCAGGTAAGACTGACTTTCTGTCATCCCAGACAAATTGCTATAATGCCCAAACACGTCTGTTAAATTCCGCCAAAGTTGATTTTTAAAATGTTTGTTCTTATTTTTGACAGACCTCTTGATAATGAAAAAGTTATTGCCAAGTTGAAGGGCCTGATAACGACATTATGGGATGTTGCCGAAAGCCAGAAAGATGACACTGTCAAAGGTATGCGATAGTCAACTTTTGCCTCTGTAAATTTGTATCAAGTGCTTAACTGGAAGTCTCGGGTTCAGATGCCTTTTGAGACAAACTTTCTTGGCCGAATCATCTATTACTCAGACACGTTCACATTTTCATTTACAGATATGCTGTTGTATCTGCTTTCCACTGCTGTGTGTACACTGCTGCAGTGTGGCCAGAGTGAACCAACACCAGCTTTAATACAGGAACACTTTGTTTGGAATATACTGAGGTAGTTATTTCTTTTGTTAAAGAAAGCTAGGCCAAGCATTGATTAAATATGGCACCCTATAATAAAATAATGTGTCTAATGTTTGATAGGCTTAAGTTTTGTCATAGTTTTACAAACGACAAAACAGGGAACTCGGAATATCGAAATCAAATTTTGAAATCAAACATAGTTCGGCTTTCTGTTCAACATTTTCTACCAATTGATAGGGGATACATTTCATTGGTTGCACCACAAAGTGACTTGTTGCATATGATTGCTATAGCGTAAACTGACGTATCTTGCCATGTTGTAGTTGAGACCCCACAAGACCAACACAAGACCTTCCCTCTGAATCCAAGTCACAAACGGACTGCAGAAAAAGCATTTCTCTGTCATTTTCCGCCCTGTCACATGCGAGTTGTCTTGTGTCTGGTCATGTGGTTTCGGACGGTTTGGCTTGACATTCTTTCTTTGATATCATTCATTCTAATTCCATGGGACGCTTTTTCAAGAAATCGTCCACTTCTTGACAAGCGTTGCTTTTTAGTGACCCCCTCCACCCAAATTATATAATTAATCTTATTGATGTGTATTTATCCTGTCTTTGTGGTGGTAAATAAAGAAAAGACTGATGATTGATTGATTGATTTGATTTGATTTGAATTGATTTGAATTGATTGATTTGAATTGATTGATTGATTGATTGATTGATTGATGGAAAGATTACCTCCCATCACGATGTGGTAGATGGTGTTCATGTTTTTTAAGGTATCATTTAATGTCCTCTTTCCTCGCAGAGCAACCCCCACATCTGCACATGTTCTTCTGATAGGAGACCTGTACATCACACAGCTCGTCAGAGGCAGGGAGGACAGTGTTCTCTGTGCAGAGACACTCCAGCTCATCTTCCCAGCGCTGCAACCCAATCTATCTGCTCCTTACAAGAAGGTATTATCAAATGTAAATGGAGAGATAGTTGTTGGCTTGGGAAATGGGCAGAGGTTTGCCCTGACATTCTTTCTTTGATGTGTATCATTAATTCTAATTCCATGGGACGCTTTTTCCAGAAATCGTCTGAAATTGTCCATTTGTTTACAGTCAGTCATTGGCACATTCTTTGCAGTTTAAAGAAATTCGTGAAATTTATAGGCTCATGGGAATTTATGATAAATGAAAAAACTCTACAACATTCATCCTTCCTGAAATTTTATCCACACTCACATCCAGGTTTCACTAATTTTGACAAATTGAAAATATACAACCTCACTAGCTTTCCATGACACTGGGCTGGAGTGGCAAGTTTTGTTAATCCTAACAGTCCTCAATCCTCCAATTTCAATATGATTTCACGTGCATGGGGGGAGGTTAGGGTTAATGTTGAGCGCTTTAATTCCTTTTGTAAGAGTGCACTGTGAATGCTTGTCAGGAGGCAATTTCATGCCTGTTTCTAGGGAATTAAGGCAGTGTTTTTCTTTATGTAAACAAAAAACAAGACTAATTTGAGAGACCCTAATGTAGGGATGGTTGGCTCAGTTCTCAGTGTTCCGCTTCCGTGTTTTTTCTTCTTCACTCATTTTTTTTGTCAAGGTGAAATGAATTTCTCTGCTACTCACTCGTATCCATATTGAGTGGGGAAAAAATAACTTTTCTTCCATTAAGAGGTTGGTTTCATTTTTATGCAGGTTCGGATGTTGACCCTGAGGATTTTATCTCACTTCCCAGTTGAACTCCCTAGCATTCCAGATTTGGTAAGTTGGAGGAGTAGAAATAACTATTGTCGAGCCAACGCAGTCAGAAGTTCGTAACGATGCTAAAATCAGTTTTAGACATAACATCTGAATAATGTCACCATTTTTCTGTTTCTCCTTCAATAGTAAATAATAACCATATTTATAAGGCACGTTAGTACCAACCCATTGTGAACGTTGAAATTGTCACTGGCATCTGCCATTTCGCCAACAGCCCACTCGTCAGGTTTGTGTGTTCCAGCTTTGCCTTGAGGCGGAGCTAGTGCCTGCGACGGTTGAAGACTACCGAGAAAAGCAGAAGCTACTGCAGAAGTTGAGCTACGATGCCGTGCAGCCAAATGTACCCATTGGAAACTACAAAGAGGTAGGTTTTAGGCTGTACTTAAACTTTTAAGTGCACTTTTGAAGGGTACGTGTGGTCACAATGGACAGGGGAACATTATAAACAGGTGGACACTATGAACCCCAAGCTGGACCAGGAGAGGGTGCAATTTTCCTAGCTACGGCAGCTCCTTTGGTGGGAACTGCACTTCACCGGTTCAAAAGCGACTACGCACTGTGAGTGTTATGGTCACGTCGCTACCAACAAAATGAACACTCCCCACAAACATTGCTCTTTCAACTGATGAGGGGGTGCTTCTGCTAGAGGCAGATAGGCACAGTTTTAAGGTTGTCCTAGACTGCTTGTGGTGTCCACTCTGTGAGATACATGTAATCAATAATCAACAAGTGGACAAATGACCACAGTGGACATGTGGCCGCAGTGGACAGACTTCAATGGACATACCTGTTGTGTTACACAAAGAATGACATCATCATCATGTAAATGTTTCAGTGGTGTTTGTATGCTTTTTCTGCGTCTCCAGGTTGCCTTGAGGTATCTCATTGGATTGCTGTACATAAACTTTCAGTTGCTATGGCAGCCCATCATGGAACTTATAAAGTGAGTACACTCTGTTTTCTTTAAAAATGAATAAGTTCTGCTCTTCCTTGAATTGAAATAATTGTTCACTCTATTTTTTTGGTAACTCTTTTCAGATCTCATGCTTATGGCATGGACAAGAAAAGCTTCTGGTCTGTCTACAGCGACCACTTGCTGAAAGTGGCTACGTTACTCGAGACCTCACAAACAAAGACGACAACAAACCCGGGCCTGAATGATTCTTTGGAAGATCTGAGTCCAAATGTGCCCGATCTGGCGGCGTTGTTCAGGAAGATGCAGGTCGAGAATGTCACGGGTGCCGATCGGCCAGACCACTGGAATGTCCGGCAGCTGATGTGGAAGGCGATGGCACTGTTTGCCGATCGGGCTGAGGGCCGGTCGCGGGAGCTTGTACCTCTAGTCTTCCGATTTATTGAGTATGGTGCCATTTCAAGTGCAAAAGTTGTTAATCCTGTCCTTGTTGATTAAGCTTAGAATTGTTTGCCTGTCAAACAATACTGTCAACCCTTAAGTAAACCAAGGCATGTCTTGAGTTAAACTTATGGCTTTGGACTTGGAGAAATTCCAAAAATGTTCTCATAAAAATGTCATTAGAACAGAGGTAGCCCTGATGTTAAAGGATTGCCCATCTTTTTTTTTCTCTCAGAAATGAGTACCACCCATCAAATGTCAACAATGCCCCGACCCAGGACATCAGAGTGAGGACTTGCCAGGATGTCAGCGTGGATCAGACTGAGGACAGTGGGGAAACCGAGGAAGATCTGTGGGCAGAGAGTCAGGATGGGGAGGAAAAGGAGGACACTGAACGAACTCCGAAACTTGTTGGAAAGAGGACGAAACAGAATAAGGCCAAAGGCTCTGTGTCTAGGTAAACATTTTAAACTTAAGTCTACTTCGAAGAAAAGCAAAAAAGAATAAGTTGTAAATCCTGTGATTTAGTCAGTCGTCCTTTTGCTTGATGTCAGCTCTTCCACCAAACTATGTCAGCCTGACCTTTAAGACCATTTTTAGGCCTCTTTAAACTCGTAATCTAACGGATTGACTGATTGTTTTTCCACCGTTCACACGTCTTGCGACTGAAACTTGGAACTAAGTGGATAAGTCACCATATCTCCCAGATGGGTTCAGAGTTGAATGTTTCCGTCATCCTTTGTTTTGCTTTTTCTTTTCATTTAGGGCATTGGTAACCCACCTTCAGCTCTTCAGCCGATTCAAAGATCCCAAATCGATGTATAAAGAACCTCAGCTACGAAAGCTGTACTTTGATGTAAGTATTTTCCGCTTGACATTAAAGCTTACAAGTCAGATCAAATTTTAAGTAAACCAATGGTTTGATTACAAAAGAATCCCAAGCTGGTTTCATTTAACCGTTTTTTCTTACTTCTGACTTTGTTAAAGGTGCTGACAACCAGGGATATCTCAAGTTTTAGTTGATATAAACGGCTGTGTACCATCTCTTATAGGCCTCTGACTTATTGAGGGAATAAGTTATTACTAGTTAGAAAAGGAAAAATTGAATTTGATTTACAGTAATATCCCAAGGCAGCTACTAATGTGACAGATAATGGAGAATAGTGCATTCTGTGCTTCAATAAAGTTGTGGAGTTGCTTTTACTTTTAAAAGCATAAAGCTGACAAAAACTAGTCTTGTTTTTACTGAAACCTACAGGTTTCTGGATATTTTTCATATTTTTCTGTTTCCCTTTGTTAACTTTGGCTAACTTTATATAGTTTTAATTGCAGCGTGTACTTTTTACTGAGACAATCAGAAATAACCTTGGTATTATCTTGAATTGAATTCCAACAATAAATAGTGATTTTTATTCTCTTTTTATTCCAGTTACTGTCAAATAATTTCCCAGACATCCAGAAAGTGGTCTTGTCCTGCCTGATGACCTACAACCACCCATACCTGACCCCCTACCGGGACAGTCTAGATGCACTCATGGAGGACAACAAGTTCCGTGAGACGCTCGTCCAGTTCAGCATTGATGAAACGACTGGAGTAGTGGCAGCCAATCACAGGGAGGGACTGTTGCCCATTCTGCTGAGGTGAGATGAAGAAGTCATGAGTCGAATTGAAGGTAGCATGGTAAAGATGTCTGCATCAAACAGCAGGTGGTTCTGGGATCGAATCCCTCTCAAGCGAACCTGCTTTTGAAAGAGTTGCAACAGTAATTTGCCAGTGAAGGCCAGATGTTTATGAAATACAAAAAAATTGATTTCCGATTTGCATGCACAAACGTCGAAATCTCTCTGTGGTTACATCTTAGAAGGATCTCTTTAACAGTCTTTCTTAGATTTTCAGAAGAACAGTGAATGAATCTGCTGTCTTTGCTGATCCACATATCCTGCTTTGTAGGCTTCTTTACGGAAAGATGATGAGCAAGACAGGGCCTGGCACCCAGGGCAAGAGTGGGGGTGCTGTTCGCCGGTCCACCATCCTGCGTTTCATCGCCGGCTCCTCATCCAATGAGTTGAGTGTGTTCCTGGACCTTGTCCTGGAGCCGTGCCGACAAGTCCTGAAAGGTACTAGGAGTCTCGTTTGTGGATTCTTTTCTAGAATATGGTTGATTTTAAAAATGCTTTGCATAGTTTTATCTGTTGGATATTCTTGATTTTTACCGCACTACTGAATCTTAACATGTGACAACTACAGATGCACGGGACACACAAGAGGAACTTCTCCAACCAGCATTTTCTACCGAGTCAAAGATACTAATTTTGGACTTATAGATTTTTTTTTACTCACTTGTCAACCCAGTTCATGACTGAAATCATCTGGTACTGTAAGGAAAATTTGGATCAAAGTTTAGGAGCTTTGGTGTGCCTCCTCAAGTCTTTTGGTCCACACAATATTGTAACGTGTTTCCGAGAACTATAAGCAAATGTAATGTGGGTACATGTGCCGTGGCTGGCACTGTGTTAAAGGGAGAGTTTTCTTCTGTGAGGTAATTTTTAGATCAGATTGGGAGGCCTTTTTGTGTTCCTGTATAAATACTGTTCTGCAGGTGTGGAGTGCCCACAACTACAAAACGCGTTTTTTTTTTCTCATGCCTATCGAAGATGATTGCTACACCACGATGACTGAGTATCTGGATTCCTTAAGCCCCTCCACTGTGATCCCCTTGAAGAAGCAGCAAAGGTGAGTAGAGGACGTGAGTAGGGGAATCATTTGGGAGTGGCCTTTCCATTGGGTTCATACTTCTAGCACAGTGCAAAATGAATTTGAGATGTCAGTGGCAAATATGTATTCATTTCACACGTTTTTTTGCAGAATGTATTGTTTGTTTGTTGTTTTTGCTGTTTTTTTTTCCAAAAATCTACATTTAAACATTGATAAAAGCTAGAATGACAATATCAGTGATTTTGCATTGAATACAAAAATTCACAGTTTGATATTTGCCTGTGATTTTGCCATTGCCTTTTTTAGTATGCTGGACACTATCGGAGTCATCTTCAGCAAGTTGGGTCACCGAATAGCACCGTTTGCCACCAGCATCCTCCATCTTGTTACAACCCTGCTGGCCAGCTACGCCAAGCTGCTTGACCAGCGGAGCCAGGTGGGCCAAGAAAACATAGAAACATGAAGTGAAACTAAACTGTCAAGTAAAAACTCTACCTGAAGGCCATCAGAGCACGATCATAGTTGGAGCCAACTTTCAGATTGGTCAATCCAGAACAGGGATCCAGTCCAGCAGAAAATGTCACTGAGCGCATTTTCATTTCAAGCAAAGTTTTGCAGAAACCAGTCACAAGTCAGATACCTCGCATGAAATATCAGTTGGTGACCAGCTTTTTGGGTGAGAATGTTCCTGTGCTATGTAAGTTTGATGCCTGTGATTAATTTTATAAATCTGCCCATGGTTAAGGTATCAGTCTGTCAGAGGATACACATTGCCCGTGATCATTAGCTGGTGAGAAATATTGTCCACAATATCGGTAGCATCTGCTGTCTGTTGCACGTTTTGTAATGGTTAGTATGTCCCAAGTTTCCTCAGTCACTGTTTGATATAAGTACAACCCTTATGCTTCTTACTTAAATAGCACAGAGGCATGATTTTGGATAGTCTGAAGAGGTTTATGAGTTTACATTTGTAAAAGTAATTTTTTTTATAGGTTAACCCCTTGACAACGGGAATTTCTTCCCAAAAGCCGACTCCAAGAATTCCAGCCTCGCTTGGCCATGAAGGCCACCTGCCAAACCACAAATTCTCGGTTTGTGGCCCAGCGTGCTCTGCACGCTTAGAATTACACGGTGAAAAGGCTGATTGTTCGGTGGCATGCGGCTCTACTCAAGCTTCCACATTCCCATTGCCTCTTTTCAAAGTGGGGACTGTTGTGAAGCTGGTGATTATGATTCAAATTTGGTCTTTTCATTTCTGGGCTACCTACAAAGTCCAATTACCATATACACAAGAGCCAGGGTCTGCCTTCTTTCACCGTGTTCGCTAGAGCGTGGGCCGAGAATAATAGCTGAAAAGTGGGCTGAGGATCTCAATTTTTACGGCGGCTCTATCCACAACCCGGTGCGAAGGGGTTAACAGTGCAAATAAACATAAACAAATTTGTTTGGTATCCTACTCTTACAGATTCAGACCTACGCGGTTGGCCAGCTGAAGAGACTTCGTCAGCTAGCCCTCCTGCGATTGGCTGAATTCTTTAGTGTCTTTGAGCATCATCCTCTCTCGGCTAGTGAGATCGACTGTATCTTTGAGGCGGCTGTGTGGCCTCAGATTGACAGCTTGGCCAATGAGTGTCTTGCAAGTCCAACCCCTCTGCTGAAACTGATTTTTGTCTGGAGCAAATATTCCAGGTGCGGAATTCATTTCAGAAGGTTCAGTTGTAGAAACTTGAGTGCAATTTGTCTCCCACTGTGGATCTCCGTTTGGGATTTTCTCTTTAGTTCCATACATTTTCATCTGTAAACTAGTAGCGTCTTAATTAATCATACACAAAGAAAATTGTCAAATGTCAGAAAAATGTATGCTTTTGAGTGTGTGATACCTTAGTGAGAACTCCATTGTAGTTTTTCCAAAGTAAGTTTCACATAGCACGGATATGGTTTGGGAGAATGATAACATTTTAGTTTTTTAGTTAGTAGCCACAATATCTGACAATGGCTGTGGTATTATTAAACTACATTCACATTATTTTTGGAGGTTTTTGAATGGTTAAAAAATAAAGGGAGTGGTTTTTTTTTGACTGTCAAGATTCCACCCACTCTTGGCCAAGCATCACCCCACCAAACCAAGTTGCACCATCCTCCCGAGCGTCACCTCACTCCTCTCAGCATCCACGGTCTCTGCCTCGGTCGTCAACGTGGTGATGGAGATTGTGGAACACCTCCTCCTGGAGGAGGAGTCAGGGATGGAAGACGGAGAAGAGGTTGATGACCTGGAGGTCAATGACCTCATTGACGTTGCGATAGAGAGCAAACAGTTTGCAGGTACTGGGGATAGACATGGATCTCTGTGAACTTTCACCTGTTTGATCTGTTAGTGATCAAAGTTTTGTTTCATGGTTTGCCAATTTTATAGTGTTAATTTTTACAATTTTATTTTTCCCTGTCTGGTATTCCAATTAATTCATATCAATATACATGGACCAGTCATTGGTAACCAAAAGACATAATTTAAAGGAGATATGTGATGTTATTCATTGCATATTGATAAGTTCTTGTGAGTCAGTGATTGACTGAACCCTAGGATTATTCCACAGGCACAAGATAATAGGATATTATCATAAGGATTTTAACCTCAAGTAGCACAGTGGGAACGCTTCATTCAACACAGCAAGGACCGTGTTATCTTCAGAGGCAAAATGACTGTAGAAATATCCGTGCACCTTCAAGCATTTACTTCATCCACAGTGTGAAATCTATGCCGCAATTTCTCTGCCGAGATGTTCAGAGTAATTTAAAGCAGTTCAGCCCAGCACATGAACGCTAGACTTCCGTCTGATTTTCCGTTCCAGATCCACCCAGCTTTGGGACTAAGTTGCTCTTTCCCCATGTACCAGCCATCTTGCAGTACCTCAGCTCCTCCGTCCATCGGTGCACTCACACGAAGGAAGACAGGAGAGGCCTGCCTATGAAGGACCTCAACATCTTGTCAAAGTCAGTAGTTAAACAGCTCATGAAGAAATGAGTATTATGAAAATATTAATGTTAGGAATGCAGGAATAGTTCATTTGGTGGAAAGTGTGAAAGCACATATGTTGATTATTTGCAGAGTTGAAGAGAGTTTTTTTGTGGGGTGGATAACTTTCAAGTTTAGTAAATATTTCTTGCCTGATCTCAAAACTGGCATCAAACTGTTGTCTCATCATGAAGTGACCTATCTCGACTCATGTCAAATTCTCACAGGAGCTAATTAAGAAGAGTCAAGAGTGTGATACAGTTGTTCAGGATGTCTGAATCGTCACTTGCATGTTATTTTGAGAACTTGCCCGTTTTTGTCTGTGTCATTTCATGGCAGGATAAGCCTGTACATCAGTGATCCTGAGCAGAGTACCGTGTTGGTTAGCCTTCTCCTGCCATTCTTGAGGAGAACCAGTGAAAAACATGAGGTAGGCTTGAAAGTGAGAATGCGCTGTTTTGTTTCTCTGAGGTAGTTGCGTGAATGCTCAAGGTCACGTCTTGTGATCAGTTTAGATATTCTTACAAATGGGTCGTTAGGGAGACATTTTGTGGTAAATTTTTCGACCTTAGGGAGACATCGGTCATTAGGGAGACATTTCAATGTCCAATGGTCCCTAATGCCTCAACTACCAGGAGGAGGCCGAATTTTATTGTCCAAATTTTGAGAGATGATAGTTAAGGGTCTTAATTGAAAACATACAAAGCTTGGTTCAGATCAGATTAGGGAATATTTAATTATGGGACAGTAAAGTTTGTGCATGTTCTTATGGGAATGTCTCCCAAGTGACCCATTTTCGGTAATTATTATTAGGGTCGTATTTTTGGAAACTCACTAAGAGCTTGCCAACTTGTTTTCCAATGAAATGTTGTAGTCTCTCGAGGGAATATTCTTTCCTTCTTTCAGCTGATTTTTTGATGTGCATTTCTGGAAAACTGATTAAAATCATAAGTTGCTATGACAGAAATTTATTGAAAGTAATTTGATTTTTAATAGCACTCCTTTTAATCATGTGCTTTATGGGACTGCCCTGTTTGACATCCTTCCGTAGTTACAAATGTGAAAATAAGTCCTAAGTGTATACTTTTCTGTTAGAGATCCATTTGCATCTGTTAGAGATCCATTTTTTGGCTCTCGGGAAAACTGCATTTGAGTTTTTTAAACTTTTTTTTCTGACAGACAACTGAACTGGACATCCTGCATACAGTCAGGAATGTCATCAAGCTTTGTCGGAATCCTTCAGATTTCTTAGGGTGAGTTGAGGCTGGTCCACAACTAGTTTTGTCTTCAGAATGGACAAGAGAAACTGCCTGGTGCATCAGGACAGCCTTTTGCCTCCACAAAAACACAGGGCCAAATCAGTCTGAATATTTATGCCGGCGCAAATCAGACTTATTTGTTGTTCTTGCACCTAATTGTGAACAGTGGAACTTGAGGGAGCCATTTTCACTTACAACATTTTCAATAAATTTTTTTTTAATCAAGAGTTGGATTGCATTGATGACATCAATACAACTTATGTTGTCAGATGTATTGGGCACGCATTGGATCAGATTTCAGCATTTGGGAAAGTTATCAAAGATAGAGATCATTATTCACAAAATGAAAATTGTTTAGTTCGTTGAAATATGTCCTGACTGCACTGTTAAGATCATGACTTTAGTTTAATCAGCTCTGAATATTTTTCACCTGAATGTGAAGAGTATTTAAAATACAAAACCTCCTTTGTATTTGAATATCCAGAGGTGCATTTGGCATGTGTTAAGACACCCTAACTTTTCTGGACTCACTACAGACCCCTGTCGTTGCTGTTCTACCGCCTGACTTTCCGGCAGTCCAGAGCTGCTCTGTGTGAAGTCTTTGCCGCGATGGCGCAGAATGACCCAACTCTGGGGGAGGTCGCCCGTCTGATGAAGCAGTTGAACTCCTGGGATCGAAAGCATGTGGAGGAGCCTGACTACGCCTACCGACTGGCCGGATTCAAACTGGCCAATGAGCGGCTGGTTGCCATGGAGACGATCAACATGGCCTTTGTGACGCCAATCATATACAACTGTTTCTACATGATAATGAAGGTGGGTTGGTGTTCTGGGACAAAGACGGAGGAAACTGAAGTACCCGTGGTTGAAAAATGGACCATATCAACGACCTGCAAACATTTCAGATATGTAGTTATACATACCCAAATGCCTTACACATGTAAAATTGCTTCCATGGAGAATATTTTCAATCCTATTTGTATATGTACATCTTTTCAGTAATTACTACATATTTGGCCAGCCTGTGTTCAAGATTCGGGGAGAACATAAGTTTACAGACAAGGGAAATTGATCACCTTCTCCACTTGAGTTTCAACATCTCATCAATAAGCCGGTTCGGTGTTTCAATGGTGCCGCCCACTCAGCTTGGTCATGAATGGGATTACACAGCATGCTCAAACTAGTGTGGTGACAGGTTGTTTGTTCTCAAATGATCGTGCTTTTTTTTGTCTGGAACGCTGAACTGGTTTATTGGAAGAGAAAGCCTGCGACTTACTGGAATGAAGTTTGAACTGAATTTGTTGGCGTGTTTTCCTTTTTTTTCCGGATTCAGATTGATGACTTGTCCATGCGAGACAACTCGGTCCATTTTTTGAAGGAACTCTTGCAGAAGCTGGCGACCGTACCACCAAACAGCCAGCATTTCAACGGCATCGTCTTCCACAAATATGCCCCAGCAATCAGGGATGCATTGAGGTTAAAAGCAGAGGTAATGCACATCCAGTTTGCCTGAGATGAAATATTCATCTTTATGTCCTTTTATGTTCACATTGACCTTAAAAACCTATTTGAATTGAGCTATATTTTTATGGTGTACTTTTACACCTCAACGCTTCATAAGTTTACCGTGTTGTCACTTCTTTTTGTTTACACAAATGTTTCTCTGTCTCAGATCTCCATTGGGTGCTTGTACAAATAGATGAGTTAACGAAAAGTGCTACAAAATACTTGTCAGAAAAGCTCCTTGATTTCAAAATGTGTTTTCTCGTCACAGAATGCCAGGCATGAGATGATTGGTCTGTTGTCCGACATCGTTCGTCTGTTCCCTGATCATCCACAGTTCCAGTGTATGACCGTTCTACACGATACAGATGTAGAGAAGGACTTCTTTGAGAACATTAGGCATATACAGGTATTTCTTGGAATAAATAAGTCTACCTTAAATCCATACACAGAAATCTTGAAGTAAACATTTCTGTCTGTTTCTCCATGTTTTGAATTGAATCAGTTAGACCCTTGTTTTGGAACGAGTGAGTCCGCTTTATATTTAAAAAAGTCATTTGGGAGCAAAGAGGCTCGTGGGGTTGGCTTAGGGCCACGTTGATGGGACAGACCTTTGGCGTGCATCCAAATGACCATCACTTTGATTTCAGTTTGAACGTGCACTGTTGGAATACCGAACTGGCTTATTGTCCTGTGTGCTTGAACTCGGGTGCACTTTGCTCTAACAAATAGGTTGCAAGTTTGTTCATATTTAGTGGAAAATGGACTTGAAATTCCAATCTTATGTACAAAACAATAGGGCTGTCAGTGCCAAACTGTGCTTTAACAAGCTAGCCATTTTTTTTTTTTTAGTGTGAAGATTAGTGATTTTTTATCAAGCTACGATGATGAGTCCCTGTTAATGTCGCCTTGCTTCCCTGATAAAGTTTTCTGATATTGTTTGTGTAAAGGTGATGCGTTTTTTCCATTTCTCTATGGAATAGGTCACTGTGTGTCATCTACAATTACTTCAAGAGGTCCTTACCAAGTGCTTTCAGTTAAATCTTGTTTCTTACTTCTTCTGCATGGCAGCACCATCGACGGATGCGCGCCCTGCGACACCTGGCCCTCCACGCCCGGCAGGGCGACCTCGCTTACAGCGCCCTCTACCAGTTCTTGTTGCCCATGGCGACGGCCCTCATCTTTGACCAGGTGCTGGCGGCCAAGAATCCCAACCTGGTCATCGAGGCCATCGGTGCAGTAGGGGCCATTGCTGGGCAGTTGCCATGGCGATGCTACTACCTGATCCTGCAGCAGTATTTACGGCTCATTATGCGCAGCTTGGATCAACAAAAGACAGCTGTGAGGTATGACGGTTTGTGACAAGTAAAAATTATTACATTTAGAAACCAAATTCAGATTTCTATGAGCCTTAGTGTGGCCAAGAGAGGGTGCAGTTTTCCGAGCAACGGAGGCTCCTTTGGTTGTAACTGCAATTCGTTGGTTGAGGACTATGAAATGCGTGGATTGCGGTGGCTTTGCAACCAAACAAAAATGAACACTCCCTATCAACCTGGCTGTTTTCAACCACTGAGGGGGTGCTTCTGCTCAAGGCGGATAGACAAATGCAACGATGTTCTAGTGGACATTCCTGATCCCCATGTACCCATAAAATGTTTCGTACAGAGCGGCTGTCACCAGTAGTTACATAGAGTAGTTTTCACAGTACTTTGCGTTATTGGTGCAGGCAGTTGCAAATGGCCAGACATACCATTGGTTCAGAGTGTGGTCTTGAACATAGGTCTTCACCCTATATTGTTAAATTCCCGCAATTATAAAAACTGATCTTTTAGTCTGAAATATAATTGTTTCCTTTGTTATTCCTTTTTAGGTTAGTTGTTGCTGTTCTGGATGGCTTTCATTTTGACTTATCTCTCTCTGAAGGAGTAGAGTCTGTGCAGGTTGGGAAAACATCCACCAAGCCTGAAAATGAGTCGTCTGAAGGTAGGACTCTCAACATGTAAAACAGACTGTGATTGGTTACATTTCTTTGTATTTCTGTGGTGCTTGGCCGAGTCAAAATTAGTCACGTCCTTGAAAAACTGTATGCTTCCTGTTTTATATGTATCATTTCTTCTTGTAGTGCTACAGTACTGAAAATAAATATTGTTTTCCCTAAAATAGGCTCTGAAACGGTTGACAAGAAATCTTGTGATGAGCACAGTGATGACGAAGATGAAAATACAGAACCAGGAGATGAGAAAGACACTGAAGAGGATGAAGAGGGTGAGAATGAAGACGTAGAGGAGCAGGTTAGCCATGGAGATGACAGCGAATGCAAGAGTGAGGTTTCCCTGGCAACCAAGATTCACCGCATCATTGTTGCCAGCATCCTGCCGAAGCTACACAAGACTCTCACTAAGAAGGTATTAGCAAAAATCATAGATAACGGCAAAGGATGAAGAACTGTCATTTGTTAAGAGAGAATTTCAGATATATAATCACATCAA